TAGAGAATTCCCATAGGTTTTTCATTCATGAGAAGACAGAGAAGTATTTGTTTATTTTCCTTGTATAACATTTTAATAGATCTTTTTCATCTGCTCATATTTCATGGCACGAGTCAAAAGTGCTAGTGTGAAGCACCGGTGCAAAACCAAAACATAAACCCTTCAAAATCAAATATAGACATGAACTAATAATCAGTGGTTATGCATTAAAATGGAACCGTCATAGCCGTTCAGCCATGTTAGTTGGTTGTTCATACCTTTGTAAGAAAGAAATTTGAATAAAACTGGACCTTCACCAATTTGTGTTGAATAACCCTGCTCTAGCTATTGAATTTCCATTTGCATTAATGCTTTCGGTTTTTCTATACAAACCTAAAATCAATTTCTGCAAACATTTTTGTTAGCAGAATAAAATCAACAGATGAACACATAGATTAGCATTAACACATCTTAATTTGGAACTTGAACTCTGCAACTTTCTGTGACTGAATAAATTAAAAATATCGATAGAGGCTACTAGACGTGGGCGAGTAACCTTAATTACCCCAGTTACGGTGGATTATATTGATGAAAATTGGAAAATGCATAAACTCACATGCTCTAACTGTAATGAAATCAGAAGTAACATGATGTTAAAGCATGTGACAAGCATTCCTTGGCCATTTTATGGATTTACATATCCAACTGTCTATCACAGACTACGTTTAATATGGACAGCAATAATCTAATTATTGACCTTATTCTGAATAAGACAATATCCTGATAAAGGTGTTTATATGAGTCACTTTTAGAATATTCCTTTCATGTTCCTGTTTTACATGTTATAGAACATAGATCAATTAACAGCACACGTCATTACGTCCCCACGCCACGCTGTCCGACATTTCACGTATCGACATACAGTTGGTCTTCGTTATGGTACCGTATACAGTTTTGGGTGTTTCATTTTTAATATTATGAACACTTCAAGTGCAGTTAATTATTGTCATGCTATACGTGCAAATAGATGACTGCTTGAAGCCGAGGGCTGAGTCCCAAACCGTGTACTTACCTACTGTACAGTAGCCTAGATACGTGTATATATAGTAGGTTTGGGACGCAGCCGTGCTCTCTTGTTTGCCGTAAAATGATTGAGCACTGCCGTGTGTGTACGTGTCCTCTCGCAAAATGCGGGAAAACTCTCACACGACGTTAATAGTGTGATTAAGGTGTGTATATGTCTGTAATGCACTTTGATAACACACCTAAAACAGGAATACTCCACATGTCTTAATTCCATTTGTGTTTACTTCCACTATGACTTTAGGTCATCAATAATCACTGTTTACATGCTAGTTTCTTAATCAGAGTATCGTCTTAATCGTGTTAATATCGGAATGTTGTTGTCCATGTAGACGTACTGATTGTCTCTCCTTATTCCTTCCAGTCAATTCTGAGGAATTTTGAATGATATCCCTTCTGACCACCTGGTGAATCGTTTTTGTAAAAGAACCATTGAAGTCTATGTAATAAGGGCCAAAGAGGTAAGTTCTCTGTAGTCATTCCAATACTTAACCTTAAGTTATAACCTGACAAAACACTGAGTAACGCTTTCCTTCTCCGACTAAACTGTTTCCCCGTTTGTGCTGAAATGTTCATCTCCAGTTGAGTCAATGAAAAATCTATTCAGTCACAAAAAGCTCTCCTATGGTGCCACTTCTTTACACAATGACTTTTCAGCCATTAAAGGTGCATGCTGGGTCCTTACTGAACAACTGAGGTGCCGAGACTGGTTCTTATTCTGCCTCTATTCAACCAAACCCGGAGGAGCTGTCCAGAATCAGCTGCAAGAGCGCCAGAAGTCGATTTTGCAAGAAGTAATTGGGACTTTCTCTTGCAATTAAAATGGATTCCCTACGAGGATCAACAGGCAGTGCTACACAAGCAAAGCAGGTGTCAAATCAGCCTACCTGGGCAGCTTAGTGGTTACATGTCAAGTGTGAATGAGCTCTTTATGTGAACTGAATTAATTAAGATTCTCTGCAGGGTATGATGCCAAAAGAAGCTTGTTCTGCTATTGTGAAGATGGTAAACACCATGAAGCTGAAACTTTCACATTATGAATTTCGCAAACATTATGATGACAATAGCACCATGTTTTTCCCCTTAAGGTCAATGATGATACCCATCCCAAAATTAGGAACTGTTCTGCAGCCATTTCGCAAGATTTTGACAATTGTATGCTTTGTGATACCCACAAACTGTTCATCTCATTTGTTCATATTTTTGGTAGTTGCCCTTTAAAATGTAACAAGCATAAACAATTTAAAGCCTTATTCCTAACAGGAGTCAACTGTCTTAAAGACAGATTCTGTCAATTCTGACGACACTTGTGTCACGTTTCGTAGATCATTATTGTATGTTGGGACAATATATTTTTGTAGCTCAGCGGTATGGTGATGAGTCATGTGTTTTTTCTCTGGCATTTTGGTAATTGCTATGATACGATCATAAAACAGTTATGTGCATTTGTTCTGGCCCTGCCTGATTCATCCTGATGATGTAGTACTTCTCCTTGGATATTTCTGCACTTGTGACTCACCTTGTGCTGGATAGTCTCATATGTATACCCTAAATATCTGTGCTTCCCATGCCCAAGTCCCATAATCTGACAATCTTATCTTATCTGTATACGGTAGACTGTGGTAATCATAAAGTGCTCGTTCCAGGACACTTCCTCACAATATACTCACACTAAACATCTATTCAACGCCCTTACAGTTCAGGGGTCACAGTACAGTTTATCTTTACTTTTCTCCAGCTATATATAGTAATCATGTATAATCCCACTATCCAGTGTGACCCAGAAGAGGACGGGTTTCCTTTTGAGTCACAACATTTTGTCTCCGAGAGGTTTTCATTGCCACTGTTGCCTCTGGTTTGCTCATTATCGATTTCTATCAACATGTCGATTTCTGTTCAGCTGCTTTATGGCAATATCTATTGTTAAAAGTGCTACAAAAATACAGCTGACCTCAAATGAATAGCATGACACTGTATTGAGAGATTTAAGTATATGTTCTCTGACCTTAAATTAGGTTTGGTTTTGATGTTAAATCATCAGCATTATGTGACTCTGATCAAGCAAAAGCACATGGTTCCACAACGCTAATCAGCATGTCATTCTAACTTAGCAAAAGACTCCCAGAAAGTGTTATAAGTACCATAGTGTACATCAAAAATCAGGCTTAGCTGTTGACATCGAAATTTGCATAGCAGTCTTTTTAGTAGAGGTGACACATTTTGGAATAAGCCTTTATTAATATTTATATAGTTTTATGCCAGTTGTCATATAGGGCTTATGCATGTCCCATAGAATGAACAAAGCCCTATGAATAAAATATTACTGATAATTATACCTCTTGCTGAACTATACAGATTAATTGAGGTATGCTGATGAGATATACTAGAAGTAGAAATGTTCTCACCTGGTAAAAATTGGGCCAGAAGGTGCTGACTGCCAGTTCAACTTGCCTCCATGTATGAAAGGCAGGTCCGGATGAGTTCCACACCGGGAAGCCCACTGGACTGTTGTTCTCTTTGACATAGATGTAGAGCTGGCCAGGACTCGAGCCCTCACCACTCGCTCCATAATACTGGAAAATAAGGCAGTGTGTATCGTTCTCCTTCAGCTGAGGGACAACTAGTTGAGCTCTCTGTCCAGAGAACCTTCCAGAAGTGTTGACCATCATAAAGGCTGAGCCTGCACAGAGGAAAGGCCATATTTGAGTACAAATACAGTGATGTATGTAGCATTTAATAGACTCCTGTCATGTGAGAAGACAACAACAGGAAATATATGCCACAGAAATGAGTTTGTACTTATTCAGATTAGCATATTATATATATTGCCAGAGTTAGTATGTGTATATGTTTGTGTGTGTGTGTGTGCACGTGTGTATGAACAATGCGTTCAGTGAGTGTTGTCCCGGAAAGACAACACTCACTGGATACATTGTTCTCTGTACACCAGGGTCACTAGATACACACACTACTTCCTTTGTCCCAGCAAACACAGAAACACACTTCAGTACAAAACGGGCGTCAAGCTAAGTCAAGTCTCAAGGTTTTCTTTCCACATTTACTCATTAACTGCAGTGAGAAATTCAAGGTATGACCAGTGAGCAAACTGAAATGTGCCAGTCAGTGATCTAAACCAAATGCCCTAAAAAGCGCGAATGTGTGAACAGTTTGCTCGGCTAACACCATGACAGAAGGATGGGTTCAAAACACACAGAGGAAGTGTGCGTTCAGAATGGTTAATGAATAACCTCTGCATAACATTAATAGCAGCTCTTTTTAAATCCTGGAAACGATGCTATTGACTCTGGGGGCTGGCGTGTTGACACAGCTCTTGGGGGGGGGGCCTTGGGTTGAGAGAGATGGACAGACTCATCAGGAGTCATTTTCACACATTTTATGTGCATGAAATGAGCTTGGCATGTTTGTTATGGTATGTCAAGTGACAAGATTAGTGGTTACTCTGGCTTGTGTCCCCCTTCACTCTTTACACAGGAATGTAGATTAACCCTTTAAATGGCTTAAATATTATTCATATTTAAAACTGTCACTCAATGCCTCTTTACATTAAAACAGTAAAGCTTCTGGAGACTCTTTTTTAAAAGCATTTGAAAACATATCTTTTTATTTTGCCATTTAATTGTATCATAGAATTATTTAAAACCATAATTTATTTTAAAACTCACTTTTTTGTTTGTTTATTTACCCATTCATCCCTCCATTTTCCATACTGCTTATGCTACACAGGGTTGCAGGGAGCCTGTCGCCTGTCGCAGGGAACCCGGGGCACAAGGCGGGGGACACCCTGTATGTCGTTGCACAATCGCACACACAATAGCCAATTTTGAAATGGCAATTAGCCTACAAAGTATGTCTTTGGACTGAGGTACCCAGAGGAAACCCCGGAAGCATGGGGAGAACATGCAAACTCCATACACATAGGGCAAAGACAGGGATTTGAACCCCCATCGCTGGAGGTGCGAGGCAAACTCAATAACCACTTAGCCACCCTGCCCCCTTATTTAATCTATTTTCTTCCAAGAAAATGTATTCTACATATGTGTACTTTTTCTCCCCTTACCACACTTGTAAGATGTTAGGAGAGAAAGATTCTATACATGCTCTACAATGGTCCTTAATGCTGAGCTTTATGTAAGAGTTTCACTAAACCAACAATTCAAACCAACAAAAGTGTTTCTTAACAGCATATAAAAGTATGCAGTCTCCATAGTCTGCAGGCATAATCATGCTCCTGAAGTGTCAGGGTCACACAAACACCAAGAATATTCATGGCACATCCTTCAGGCAAGGGTTAAGTCAGAGCACATAACACACATATCACAAATTTATCACATACAGATCTGAAACACTTCAAGTCCCAGTGTAAACAGATGAGAGATACAGACAGACCTATAGGTATGTTATGTTATGTTGTGTTGTGTTGTGTTGTGTTGTGTTATGTTATGTTGTGTTATGTTGTGTTGTGTTGTGTTGTGTTGTGTTGTGTTGTGTTGTGTTATGTTATGTTATGTTGAGCCTCAGACTGCTGGAAGGATGCATGTCACTGTCAGCATTCAATTTGATTTCTGTTCATTTCACTGAATATAGGATATAAAGGCTGAAGTCTACATAACTGAAGCCTGAACTGTTTGCATTTATTTCGGTCTTAAAAATACCTAACAATTCATATTGATATTAAACTTTAGAAATGATAAGGTTGGGTCTCATTATTAGGTTATTATTATGGTCCTTCATTCATTTTCAGTAAAATTTTTAGGTAAAATCCTATTTTCTGTAACTTATTTGAAGAGTGCATACCAAAGCCAGATTTGAATGCATATCCCAGCTAACAAGTGTGTGTAAAGACTGATAAACTGTTAGTGAAATACAAAGTCTGTACTCCATATGCCACAAGTCATCACACAATGAACTCATTACTGAACTGCTGAGACTGTGCTATACTGCAGCCATCACTTCTTAGTAAGTAACCCAAGACACCGTGTGTGTGTGTGTGTGCGTGCGTGTGTGTATGTGTTTGTGAGAGAGAGAGAGCAAGAGAGCGACTACAGTAATTCCACATGACTACATGAAAGCCATAGCCCTCATGTTGCCTGTATTATTTGTTTGCTCATGATTGTTGCTTTGTGAATGAAAAATACTGATGTGCCCCAAGATCTTTTAAGAGATTGAATCCACATAGACATGTCCAAATCTGGGCCCCAAGCCCACCTCACTTTGGCAGCCTTGTAACTGTCTCAAGACAGATGCTCCAAGTTCCTTGTCTAACTCTGGACTGGTTGTTTGCCTTGTTACAATGCCCCTGTTTAGAGCACGTCAATTTTGTGAACACTGTTCTGGTAACCATTAATAGTCAGAAAGGGAAATGGCGTAGTGTTTAGTTTCAGGCCTTCACCTGCCTCAGCTGCTTTTCTGTCCTGCAGTGCATACCATGGAAACAAGAAGCATGCAGCAGGATGCAGCAAACAGGTTTGACTGAATTAGTCCATTAGTATTTCATGGTTACCTTTCAGACATGGCCTTGAGCTGAGGCCTAGAGAGAAGACGGATCAATACAACCACAGTACTTTCTCAAGAGCAGTACGGGGCAAATTGAGCTTGAGAGGCTCCATGCCAGCTCTTGACAATCACCACTCTGTGGGTCAAGGGTTATTATAGAGGCACTCCTGTCTATTTCAGGAGTTTTTATAAACTCCTAATCACAGAGCTCAAGAAAAACCTTTGAATAATGGATACATAATGTCCATTTTATATATATATATATATATATATATATATATATATATATATATATATATATATATATATATATATATATATATATATATATATAGTGTGGAGGAACGAAAATTGTCTGCACATGAAACTAAACCCCAATGCTGGTTAGAGACGCGATATTAAAAATAATAGTAATAATAATAATCCAATTGGACTCTAATTAATGGGATAAATTCAGAACTCTTTGTTGTGAGAGTAAAGGATGCTGGGAACAGTGGAACGCCTGTGCATTGGAAAGGACTGGAAAAATTGACTGGAGCCAATCGGATTTTTCACTTTACTGCATCATACGTATGTAATTGGTCATCTATAGCTTTTTCACATGCTAATGTGAATGCGGTGTAATTCACACTGGATTTAATTAATGCTTCAACGTGCTTTTATTCTAAAAAAAAAATAAAAAAAGGAGGTTTTATAAGGTCTGCTCATGAGTCATGGTGCTAAATAAGAGAACCAAAGTGACTTACAAGTGAGCTGAACAGTCTGGGGTTAATAATATTACTCTGGTAAGTTTCAAGATTTGAACTTATCATTTATTGGTGTCTGTCTGAGAACCTTAACAAGTTTTTTTTTTATCATAAACAATAGAAACAACTATACTCATATAACTCCTTACTTAAATACTTAACAACAAACTCATGGTATAAAGCCCTTTCAAAGGGTCTAATGTATAAGTAACTGTTCAAAGAGCGCTGCGTTCATGTGGTGGCTGTGGTGCAGTTGGTAGAGCGGGTTGTCCCCGGGTTCGATTCCCAGCCCGGGTGACTCCACATGCCGAAGTGTCCTTGGGCAAGACACTGAACCCCAAGTTGCTCCCGATGGCAAGCTAGCGCCTTGCATGGCAGCTCTGCTACCATTGGTGTATGATTGTGTGTGTGAATGGGTGAATAAGACACAATGTAAAGCGCTATATAAGTGCACATTTACCATTTACCAAGTGACAAGTCGCTCTGTAACCACAACCAATGTCGCTTGTGGGTGAACACTGTCTGGCTTTTTATTTATTTATTTAAGTTCTGATACAGTGTGAAACAGTAGTATGTGAAAATGTATACAAATAATCAGTAAAAAATTTCCAACCTACACACTGGTAATGCTCGTTTGAATGCAGTGTTAATATGTGTTATTATTAAAGCATTTTAAAACTGAGAAAGAGTAAAAACACCACTGGTAATGCTCAGTACAATTACGCAAAACACCACTGACGGATACATTGACATTTACAAAGCACAGAAAATTATAACAATGGACAAGCTCGTGCCAAACATCAGTTGTCTGGTTTATAGCCCATTCGGGAGCTGCTTTTAATCAGTGGGAGATTGCGACACTCTGTGTTCCCTCTGTTAGAGTCTGTACCTGGACTGAGCATGTCTGGACCAGTACGCAATACACGTTATTACAAGAGGAGGAAAGCTGCAAACAGACACCTTTACATCAACTCAAGGGCTGCTTTGTGGTAGCAGCTGCAAAACAATGACCGAGGCATGACAACATGCTCAGTCTTGCCCATTTGTGCTTTCCAGTATCTGGCTGAAATTGAAGGTTGGGGTGTTAAGTTTCCCCCTGGATGATTCATTTCCTAGACAATCATAGAGTTGATCTCTTTTAGCCTCTGAGAATTGTAACGGGTAGTGATTTGATCATTCACAACCACAGTAATGTAGCGGCATCGTAAGAAAGCCGAGAGGACTGTGATAAAAATGGGAGAAGAGAAGCCTAGGCAGGAACTGACCCCTCAGTCGAGATTGAACCTCCCTTTGAGATCATTCATTAAAACCTTCTATTAAAACCTTATTGCACTGAACTAATTTAACTGCGTTTTAATTATTGACCCCCGAGAGGAAGAGAGGAGAGAGTTTGAGAGAGAGAGAGTACGAGAGCAAGAGAACACATTTAATCCAGCGTCTCTTTCCACTCTAACATGTCTGTGACATTATCACATGAGCTCGTGTGCCTGATATTTCTAGGTCAAGAAGAGAAACACCAAACTTGATTATGAGAGCTTTGAAAGCCGTTTAGCCAAAAAAATAATAACCAAATCCCTTCAATTTCAAGTGAAAAGGAAACACAATGCCTGGTTGGAGTAGATTTGTACCATATAAGTCTGGATAATATGGCAATATGTTAACAATACTGTGATATAATATAGACACTTTTCTAAGTACTGTCGCTATTGTCAGGTCAGGACTTTGTACTACTGAATAAATAGTAGCTGACTGAACATTCAAAACTGTATGTTTATTGCACATGTGAGTTGTGACATATTTTTAATATTTTTTTTAGAAATGCTGCAAATTATATACATATACATATATATATATATATATATATATGTATATGTATATATATAAAGATGTTTTCTGGTATTGTGAAACAATATTTTCATTTATCTTTGCCCTATTCCTCACACATGTGTGAATGACTAAATAAAATGAAATTATTTATATTTGCAGTATCTCAAATACTTACATACTATACTGTGTTACAGTGTACTTCAAACAGATTTCATTTATCAGCACGTATAAGTCTTTCAAGGTCATTTCAAGTAAAATTTTCCTCACAACCGTCTTTCAACTGTTTGCAGGTGAACAGGGATCTCCACTTTCAAACACCTAAAAACTCAAAAAGAATACATTCAACTTTTGCGCCATCACTCCCTTTAATCTCACTTTGATAGCTACTTCGTTCAATTTCTCATTCAGAAAAGAAGGAATTATTACTAAGATACAAAACCAGCTATATGATTTTCATTGGTGCAACATCCTTAAGTACTGGTTTACAAGCTCAGAGTTGAAATGTCTCTATCTGTTACCTGATCGTACACAAACACAATAGCCTGTGCTCTCACTGGGTGGGAAATACACCTTATTTCTCTCTTCTTTTGGCTACCCAGTCATGCGAGTCGATCAACAAGATCTGAGACAAACACAGCAGTCTGCTCTCTCCTCAATTCACATTCATCCGCCGTGTGATGTTTAAGTGGGAGTCCAAACCAATGTGGTGATTGACTACACATGTTACTGCCGTGAAACATGGAAGACCTGCAGAGACTGGTAATAGATCGGTGATGAATATGAAAAAACATCAACAATAATAAAAAAAAGAAAAAAAAACACCCATATTCTTTCAGAGATCATTTGGCTGATGATACAATTCATATTTCTGTAGCACTTTCATGAAACGTTTGTCTGTACATATTAATGAGTACTTTTTGACGGA